AATGTAATTTTATAATTTTTCTATATATTTGTTAAACTAAAATTTTGTCCATCCATGCATCTCGCCATAATAAATTTGCAAAATATTTTAAAAAATGTAATTAAGTTAAATAAAAATAAAAACACCCGTACAAATTTCAAAGTTTAGGGGTATTTTGATTATTTTATTTATTGTAAAATATTTTTTGGTACTTTTTGTTACAAAATGTGAGATTGTGATATGTATCAACTCCCCAGTTTTGAGCTCAATCTGATGTATAAATGGGAAACTAAACTTAAATGTACCATACGCATAGAGACTTGAGCATAAAATATAAAATATACTGATAAAACGGAATTTTTTTTTTAATTTCTCTAAAATAAAGAATTGATATCTTAATTAATTTACCCAAAAGATAACCAGATCTTGATAAAGATAACCAGATCTTGATATTTCAAAAGCCCAAAACAATAAATAATTTGGTAACTAACACGAACGAGTCAACTTGTGATCCCCCAAGAGGGACACCAATTAATTGAGGTTTGATTATATAGAAGAAATCAATACTAGAGACATATACAAAATGGAATTTATGATTCACATCGAAAGATATTGTCTGATAATGTGGCGGACCCTGAGGGCATGGAACTTTCTACAAGACTTCTTGGGAAAAAAATGCTTAGATGATTCAAAACCAAGCTACATTACAAATTTCCATCATTTCTTAGTAGCAAGTTATTCACATTTGCAAAAGTAAACCAAGCATTGTTCCCTCTCTTATCATTGTTTAAACCTCAAGAACTAACTCTTGACCTGCCAATTCAATTATGTTCAGCCACTTGCCTTGTACCAAAGGTATATATATATATATATATATGGAAGAGACTACAAAACACTTATAGGAAAAAATGAACAATGATTTCGATTACCCTTATCTCCTTTCAAAGTTCATCACATGATCACGATTGTCATGTAGTATTTCATTTTTTTTTTTTTCTACAAATCGGAATTACTTAAAATTTGGAACGTGTGTTCATAAAAAATTAGGCGAATCTACGAAAAATATCAAAAAAATATTTTACATGAAAATGTTGACCAAAATACCCCCGAAAATTTTAGAGGTTATTTTGGTTAATTTAGTTTCACGAATTATTATTATTTATATGTTTTTTAGGTGCACTTCACTAAGATGTACACATGCTCCAAATTTCAGGGCATTCCAATTTGTAGAAAAAAAATGAAAAATGAAACACTACATAGTCTTGATTGAGTACTGGGCTGAGTCCCAAGTGAAGCCTGAGTTCTAAAACATGGATTACGAATCAATTGCTGCTAGAGAAAAGGAGAATAATACAAGTTACTTAAAATGATACAAATGACTGCAACATTTGGGACTGACAGGAGCAGGCAGTGCAAAACTTTTTGGGAACCATAAAATATGACCTTGTTATTTCACAATATTACAAAGTAGATAGAATTCAGGGACTACCAACTTTCACACAGTACAAAGGGATCCTCACATATAGTAGTAGCAAGAGTCTCCCAACCATTTAGTTCTTCAGAGTCTCCAGTAAAGTCCATGAATAAACCAAGGAAGGTCATCAAATAGGTTAAAGGTGCATAGAATCCAAAGTCCCTAAGCTTGATGCTTGAAGTGAGCCTTAAAGTCTTAACACCCTCTATACAAGTCCTCTAGAGGAGCTTGAGATAATTCGAGCGCACAGATATATCCATGTTAGTCACCCAAACAAAGAAAATCAAGCTGTTATTCTCTACACTCTTGTCGCATTCTCCACGAACTATATAATCGACAACAACTATATCCTTCTGGAATCACTGGCCCAAAATGAAGTTGCATGTCTTTGTTTGGGTGACTCATGTGGATGTGTCCATGCACTTGAATTATCTCAAGTTCCTCTAGAGACACAATAAAGTCTATGTACAACCTATTTGAAATCATATTCTGGACTCTGGCCGTCGATTATTGAAGCAGCTAACAAGACAACATGGGTCAAGCTCTGATAGCATTCACTACAACATTGATAATGATGCAGAATCAAAACAAGAAGCTCCTTTGGAGAGGCTTATTTTCAGGGAATAATATTGTCGCCGAAAGTTTTGGAGAAAGAATGGTTGTCAATTCTGGTGATTAGACTAAAATTGGCAGCTGAGGCCAAATTTACAAGTTCAAGCCTTCTTCTAGGGTCAGAGTAGCGTTATATGCGATTTGTCACTTGTTAGCCAAACGATGTGACAACCCACTAGTTCCATGAAACAAGCCTATTCTTGAAACCATGCATATTAATGCATCCAAACAGTGTGGTAGTACTTCGACTAGGGCTTGCCTTCTATTCAAGGCTCTGTTATGGGCAGTTCTGGTACTACATATTCTAGAAGACATAACTTTTTGTATATTTATCCAATTCCTGCCAATGACTTGTTTCGAATGTCTGTAAGAGCTCTAGCAGATTTTGCTAGCCGGATTTGCCCAAAAAATTCCACTAAAGGTCTCAAATCCATATCTTTGAGTGCCAGTTTCAAGGGTAGTGATGTCTCTTTGTCAAGAGTTATTTGTCTTTGAGTCAAGTATCAAATTGTCATTTCTTTTCAGGGTTTCTTTCTTTCGTTTAAGGTTTAGATTTATGGTTAGAATAGACAGTCCAAATAAGATCTAGGTTAGTGTTTGGTTCCTAAACATATAGTTGTCGAAATATCTAAGAAGTGTTTTTGAGTTCCTAAACATTATAAATCTTGGTCCCTAAAACACATAGTTATCAAAATATGTAAGAAGTGTTTTCGAGTTCCTAAAGATTATAGATCTTGGTCCTTATCAATGGCTATTCATTGAAGCTTGGCTCGTAAGTTTACCCTTTCTAATCAATGCACATCTTTGTTATCGTCTTTTCCTTCCATACTGTCTGCTGCATCAGAGAAAGCAATCATGGTGCTCACACCAATAAAAATGGAGCTTCTAGGATCTCATATTCGCCTGCATTCACATTAGTGGACATAGATGTGGTGGAAAATAACACTACCTTACAACATATAGTATAGTTGCTTTATTTTCTGAACAGAGAATGATTATTTTATAGAACAATGTATTGCCAAACTGAAAGGACAAAATATAAACAAAATCAAGAAGAAGAAAGGGAAAATTCTAGGGGATGAACATATGAAAGTGGCACAAAAATGTATGATCCTTATACTCTCCATCTCCTGCACTTGAGAAAAGGTCATTAAATCTGCAACTAAAGTGAGCTGAAAAAGGATTGATTGTTTCTTTCTCCTTGAAGAAAATGCAAATTAGTTGTAGCAACACCACTGTGAGTTAGGAACTCACTCGAGACTGCTTTAAAGGATTGATTGTTCCTAACACCACTGTGAGTTAGGAACACCACTGTGAGTTAGGAACTCACTCGAGACCGCAAGTAAGTGAGCTGACAAAAGATTGATTGTTTCTTTCTCCTTCAAAAAAATGCAAATTAGCTATAGCAACACCACTGAGTTAGGAACGCACTCGAGACTGCTTTAACTCATCACCGAACCACGTGAAAGTCTGGCAGGTGCCTCGTTATTAAGCATATCTAGACCGGAAAAGGCCGTCAAGATTCCATCTCAAGGCCTCTTGAGAATAGATTTGACCTAAAATCCAAGAAAACTCTGGATCTGATATCATTATATCCTATCTTACATAAACTTTCATAAATAACAATACACAGCCCTGCGATTTCTCCCTCCACAGAGGTGTCTAGATGGCTGCTATGAAAATTGTACCCTGAAGCATTGAGCATAGCATTCTCAAATGTTGCACTATTAACTTGTAGGCCACAACTACTTTCTTCCCCTCTTATTTACTTTGTAAGATCATTGTCAAATCTTAGAATCCACTCTATAGTGCCCCTTAACAGAGGAACTTAAAATCAGTATGTGGAGTAACCAATAAGCACTAATCCAACATACCTTGTAAGAGCCAAATATTTCCATCCATATGCAGGACCAATGGACCAAAGTACTACATTCGACAAATCCAGTCTAGTACGATGCCATTTCATCAGCACAAAGCTTCAGTGACATCTTGCTTGATTCGAAGTTCATGAATAAGTCCATCCTGTGTACCAATGTCCCTTGAAATTCTATTATCCAAAACACGGCATCTCATCTTCAAGGCCTCAATCAAATTACCTTCTTTGCAGATGAGCGTGGATCGGCAATTCAGCACATCTAGATGGTTCATTCTCTATAATGTAATGAAATATACATTGGCCAACTAAACATCACCATAAATTCAAACGTTACTGATGAAGCAATTTACAGGGTACAAAATTTTTATAAGTTACCTCCACAATTGGGAATGAATCATAGGGACAAGAACCCACTGACAAGGTGGCCTGGTATCTTAATATCACTCCAAGGGCATCTTAAGATCATTCTTGTTTGCTTAGGGCAAAAGTGGAAGTCATCTCGGCAGACCTGTTGTTTCTGGTTCAAATTGTCTATGTTTTACTAATATACATAGCTTTTTTGTTTCTCTTTTCAATTAAATATTTAATTCTTGAACAATAACTTAGAAATAGTGAAGTGAGGAAACTTCCATGCTTGGCAACAACACAGTTTGAAGGGACTGACAAACGTTAGCACCATCCACTGGCGGCACCCCATGATGTTTTCCCTTCCTTTACTAAAGTCTCCCATCTGAACCCATCCCTGCCTCTTATTCCACTTGTTTCCCTTGCTTTCATGGCCCAATCTGGAGCATATCTGACAGGAGAGATTTAGGGGGATGCTCATAGAGAATCTGCTGCCCCTACTCCAAGTCACCTACGTAAACATGCTCCTCATGCATAAAAAACATGTTACATCAACAAAGTAAAAGTAACTAGGGCAAAAGAATAAACAAGAGAGAAAAAGGATTGTATATACAAGGAGAGGATAAGCTTTAGATGATGTTACAGTCCATTCCTATGAATGCATATGTTAAGGGAATAGAATACCATAAGTGAGAGAGAGAGATCCATGCAATGAGAAGGTAAGAGTGAGTTGATGATTCATTCATTTCAGGTAAAACCGATTCCACTGTACATCCTTATTCCAGTAGGTAACAAAATCCCCAGAGACTATGGAGCTTCTTCTGAGAAAAAAAATGGGGTGCATATAATAATCAAAGAAAAGGAGAAAAAGAAAGAATAATTTTGGATACATATTTACCCTCTGGTAAACAAGAAATACATTTACAATTCAAGCAGGCCACCCAACCAGAGCTTTTCTAGTGAGAAGCCAACGGGCACTATATGGCCTTTACAGAGGCTCTTGAACCATGCCCGAAAGCCCATGCCAGCATGAACACAGCCACTTTTAATCCCGAAATATTCCTCGTAATGTAACTTGGTGAAGTGGCTGCTGAGCACTAGCTGGATCCAGGCCCTGAATGAAATTCCTTCAAAACAAAATCCCATTAATTCTTGGCCAAAGATTCATAAGAGGGAAAAAATGAGCCCAAGTAAACATAACTGCTCTGGCCAGTTGGGTCATGTATCTTCGACAAAGACCCGATATATGAAATCCCTGAAACGCCTGGAATATTGCCTAGGGTCAACTGCTGATATGGAGGTGGGGTCATACTGGATTGATTTATATGCATGTTCCAGCTTCTTACTGATATCATAGTCTTGGAGTATGTCTATGATGCCAAAGAAAATGATCACATCACATAGCTCTCCTGTTGGTTCGCCAATCAGCTGGTCACAGTCGCTTCTCCTAACAGTGTGCTCCACCCGTGCCGGCAAGTTAATACCAAGCCTCGTCGATGACCTCCTAAAATCCACACAAATCAAACCAAATCCATTTAGGATTCCTTCCTCCGCTTTTAATTTTTAGATTGTATTAATCAGTTAAAACACATTAAATCCATTTCTAGATTGCTATGCAATGAGAGAATAGATTATGCAATTTGGGATGTACTTATTGGGGTCAAGAAGAAACTGATCCATTTCTCTTGTTTCTGGCCTTGAAAGCCGATAAACTGTTGCTTCCATCAATAGATCGAGATCCCCTACTGTCAAAACATGTGTTTTGCGTCAGGAGGCAGAATGAGCAAATACACAGATTCAACAAGTGAGAAGTAGTTCTTATTTGACTTATGAAGAAATGAACAATGTTTAAACCGAAAACTCACATGAAGAAGTTCTTTGTCCGGATAGTCTTCCATTGCTGTCTAAGAAATGAAGACCAACCAACAGACTGTAATCCATAATTCTCTCAGTTTCTAGAAACTCACAATCCCGATCTACTTGCCTGTTATAATAAGGTTCCGTGAATGAAAGAAAATTAGGCCACCAATCCACAACTCCACCACCATCAGAATTTCATGAAAGAAACTGGAAACCAATTGAATAAAAAGTGAAGCCATTGAAGAAATTAACAAAATACTTTCACATTTATTCAATTTTCCTATGATACTTTGAACTTTCCCATTGTTTATAGGTTGACAGAAATCCTAGAATCAGCATCTGGGATTAGGAAGCAGCAATTCACCTGCGAAGTTCTTGAAACCAGGACTTTTGCAATCTGAATACGAAGTTGAGGTCAAGGTCTTTCAGAGTGGTGGTCTCATCAATCTCTGCTTCAGGCTTATCAGTTATACGACCATGAGAAGAACCTTTGAGATCAAAACGCCGGTGTATATGGTATTCCGAACAGAAAAGGTTGCCCATAATTATGAATCGGACCTAATCAAGGCATAACAAAACTTATTGTATTTTCTCATAGGCAATAACAATAAAAGATACAAGTTTTGTCAAAATCTTTAAAGTTTAACTACTAAAATTACAAACTTTCTATTTGTGGAGAGAGTTCATGAACCTTAGTTTCTTTCTAGTACCTTTTGACCCCCCGCTGCTTTGACACAGTGAAGGCCAAAGAACTTGGTAACCAGGGTATTCTCATAGGCACGTACATGATTATAATAGCTCGGGAGCATTCTAAGAAGAACCTGAACCAAAAGGAGGAACACCGCATAGAATCAGAATTTCAGAACATCGAATCGATTAGCACAATAACGAGTAATTTCAAACTTATCAGAAAAGGAAAAGAACCAATTGTTACAGTAAGTCAGATGGCTCACTTTTACTTCCGATTTTTTCATTGTCTTGATCATGTAACGGTCATCATGTGTCAAGTAGAAAAAGCTTCCACTTTTCCCAGGAGAAGACAGCTCTCGAAGGGCATCATTCCCGCATAAGGATAACATATAGTCGGCGGCATCAATTTTGAACAGCCTTCGAAGATACCTACATGCAAAGCAGAAGCATTCATATAGGTATTCAGACCTTCATAGTTTCGATTGATACCCAATGACAGAGTTTCCTAGATTGCAACATACGGTACACCAAGATTGCATCGACCATTCCTTGTTCACTGATGAATGTTTATAGATTAAATATGCAGCAGGGTCCCCAAGGTTAATCAACACCCATCCATCAGGGAGAACAGAGAAGGTGGATATATCTTGAAGTATCATATACCATTTTACATTTGGATCGTGGTATAAATGTGGTTCGCAACAATGACATCTAATTTTATGCTTTTGGAAGAACTCAAAGGCCAAACCTGAATACTAATGGGCAATAGTCCTTCCATCTAAACTCAATAGACTGGTGGGGCGGAGTATGCTTTGATCCTTCAGGAGGGAACCGTGTCCATATTCTTTCTTTAGGGTCAAAGTCAGATGCACGAAGATCACGTGATTGGGCTGGAGCAGGTTTGCCAACTGAATGCCTGCAATGAGGCATCAAACATTGTTTAGTTTAAACTATGAACTTATATTCAGAGACCATAGCTTAGATTGAATAGCTAAATTGCACTTTTACAACAGTAGTAGAAAAGAAGTAACTGCAGTCAGCAATCAGGAAAAAAAAAGAATCTATCGACCATGTAAAATCTCACTCGTTGCGTTTCCATTAACAAATCTCAAAGAATCACAATGATAAAGTAAACATTTCATAAAGTACATGAAAAGAACCATATGTCCAATGCTTTTCACATGATCAATTAGAACAAGAAATCGCAACCTTAAAAACCATATGGGGCAAATGTTTTAGATCACACCTGGTCATGAACATAGAGAAACCTAGAATGTTAGCTCCTTTCCTTACTGAAATGAAAATGGTGGCAAAGGATTTTGTGGTTCACAACAACTAAAGTCAAAACAGCCCAAAGAGAAGAACCAAGCATGTTCCTCAATGTCCATTCTACATTTCTCGTGCAATGCACCAGTGTACTCAAAAGAGGTCCAAACAACTTCTAGAGGCCAAAATCATTAACTACTCCATTGTTTATTCGTTCCGGGATAAGATCGAAATAATTAGGTCACTATCTGGGTAAATAACCTTCCAACTTGTGAAATCTTTATGACCAAGAGCATGACAGAGAGAGGTAAGAATAATTTCCTGTGATTACAATTTTAAACACACACACACACTACACTAGTTCTGTACTTTCATTTGATTCTTTATCTGCTATGCATTCAGAAAGCCCTAGTGCTGTATCCCATTCCCGACCAGATTTGATTCTTCGAGCCTAGATTTTTAGCAAGTGCAATGTGAACCCACTGTAAGATAAAAAATTCTTGCATATTTCATCTCCTTTATGCACTAGTCCATCAAGGATGAAGAAGAGCAGCCATTGAGACAAAATCTCTTTCAAGTTCCACTTGAATGGTTATAAACACAAAGAAGACAGGTTATGGCACAAAGTGATAAAGCCATAAACAATTCTGATCTGAAGATTGCACCCAACAAAACAAGGAAGTAACATGAAAGCTCTCAGAAGTCGGAAATCATAAGAGTTTTCCTTTTGTCACAGTGCTGCCCCAGTCTAACCCAAAGGTTTACAATCAACAAAACAAGGAGGCAGATCTTTTTATTTTCATAAGTTGAGAGATTTACATTCATATCCAGTTCCAAGCTGAAACAAAATCTTATACATAGAGGAAAAAATGAAGCTGTCTTTAATTTTCAGAATATGAAAGGTATTCTTCTCAATTCTATCCCTATCTAAAACTAAAGCCTACCATCTAAACAGTGATGAAACAAGTTTTAAATTTTCAGAAATTGAGGAGTTTTCTTGTAAATTCTATCCCAATTACCAAAATCTTACCCAACAAAGCAAATTGGAAATATTCCCTCTTCAGATCCTATGAAGAAAAGCAGAAGACGCATTCAGAAACCAAAGAACTAACAGTATAAAGTCATACCGAGCAAAGAAGTATAATCTGTTAAAATCTTAAAAATCAAAGAGCATTTTAACTATTATCCAAGGAAGAAAACCAAATTCTTGAAACACATAAAATACAGAAAATGAAGAGGGTAGAATCAGGGGATCGATATTAGTGGTCATGTTTTTAACCACTCCCACCCGAAACATTAGTACAAATTCTAGCAGAAGACAAGTTTTTATATCCCACCCTTGAATATTGAAAAATGGTTTAAGTGGCAAGTGGCACTCCCCCAAAATCAGCTCGAGCTACAGAGGAAAGTTGACAGGTGAGAATGTTCAGACAAAAATATCTAATTATCAAAGAAGAATAACAATTTTATGAAAAATAAAATAAAATCTGTCAGGTCAATATCGGATTAGCAAACATGATCACACACACAAAAATTATATTAATAGTCCAATAACCTCATGAATACAGTCAGAGGTGGAAACAATCTGATGGTTTGAGAACCATGAGAGAGAGACCAATAACTTTCTAAATAAAGTCATAGATACAGAGGATTATCTGATGAGTGGAAGGCATGGAAAACAAGACAGTGAAGGCACACTCACGTGATCCCCAGCTGCAAATTAAGCATGAGCTCGTAATTTTTATGTCCTTTCTTAATCGTCTCCCCCTGCCTCTTCGCCTCCTTAACCAGAGGCGCCACCATCCTCGACTGCCTACTACTCGGATGGCTAACATTATTGTTGTTATTATAATTACCATTATTCAGCATTGCTAAATCATCATTTCCGCCACCACCACCACCACTGCCACTGCTCCTGTCAACTACCTCACACGTAATATCCCCCTCAGTCTCCCATATACAAAACCTATCGAATCCCTTCTCTCTCCTTATCCCATCCACTGACCCCCTCCTCCTCCCCATCCCTGTAACTGGCGGTTTGCCGCTGCTGTCGGCCACCCTCGAAGACCGCCACACTGCCTGCTTATGCATGAATTCGGCCTCGGCCCCCGTCCAGCTCATCATCTTCTGGGACGGCAATATCGACACCGTCTCCCCAGGCGAAACCTTACAATCCATCATCTCCGTCAGAATGGTATCCTGCTGATCCCAACCCCCGCCGCCCCCAGCCGATCCGCGGGATGGGTAATACGTCCCGCTCTGCTCCCTCGGGTCACGACTCCACGTCCCCACATAGCAGCTCCCATCCGCCCATGTGAACACGCCATGGCCTTTGGGTTCCCCTTCCTCCCATTCTCCATCGAATCGATTCCCATTTGCCCAGAGCAAGTATCCTCTGCCGTGCATTACCCCTCCCTTCCACTCCCCGACATACTCGTTCCCGTTCCGCCACACATATCTGCCCTTCCCTTCCTGAACGCCGTGCCGCCAGGAGCCCTCGTGGTAGTCGCCATTGGCATAGCTCTTGAAGCCATGGCCGTGCTTCAGATTCATGGACCACCGCCCATGGTAAGTGTCCCCACTCGCCCCTGTGTATGTGCCGTCCCCATCCATGAAGCCGTTCTTGAACTCCCCCTCGTACGTGGCCCCCGACGGCCACGAGAACTTGCCTTTGCCGGTGGTCCTCCCGCGACACCAGTCGCCTTCGTACATGCACCCATCCGTCCAGAGGTACTTGCCGGACCCGTGGGGCAGGCCCTCCGACCACAGCCCCGTGTAGAAGTCCCCGTTCGCAAGCACCTTCTCGGCCCACGCAAGTGGAGGAGGAGGAGGAGGAGCACCACTCTCACATTCCTCATGATCGATGTTTCCGCCGCCCAACATACAAAGGATCCCTCCAATTGCTTGCTCTTGCTCGAGCTTTTGCTGTTGGGATCTTCGCACCTTCGATTCCCACGAAGAAGCCACCACCGCAACCTTGTCGTCTTCGTCTTTCTCCTTCTCCTCCTCTCTGTTGTCGTCGTCTTCCTCGTCGTCCTGCGGCTGTTTCAGCATTGTCTGGGCTCGCCTCGCCTCGAGCACGCAAGTGAGGTGGTGGCCAGGGCCTTGCTGCCCCGAGAGACCCGGTCACACGCCACTCGCGCCCACCCCACCACCTCTCTTTCTCAATACCTTGGGCCTCGCAAATCGAGGAATGGTGCCCTCGGGTTTGTCGGGAGAGGGGCCTCTCTGACCCGTTAAATGCGAGTTGGGGGTTCTACACTTGACATTACATGGGGTGGCCGTCCGGTCATTAAGGAGACCATTTTGCCTGTTTAGGGCTCTTTGAGAGTGGGGTTATAAGCGAAATGTTTCTATGTGGGACACAACAACACGTTCATACTGCAATGTTACACCACTGTTTTTTTTTATTGCTTTTTTTTTATAAAGCATTTTTTGGATGAAATTTTGGGGTCCCACTTCTTTTTTTCATACTACAATGTTACACCACCCTTTTCTTTTTTTCTTTTTTTTTTTTTTTTGCATAACATTTTTGGATGAAATTTGAGATCCCATCATAAAATCAAGGTGAACTTAGAAAAAATAAAAAAATATATATTTTTTGTAAAAATAGAAGATCAAAATGCCCCTACAAATTTCAGGGGTACTTAGGTAATATTTGTCATCTAAATTATTTTTATTATTATTTTTAGAGAAAATTACATGCATATCCGTTATACTTTGCGTTATTACGGATGTACCAAATAGTTTATGTTATTACATGTCAGCCCGTTTTTTATCTTTTATAACGTAATTTTTTTAAAAAGACGACTTTACCTTCCTTAAGGTTCTAGAATTTCGTAGTCACATTTTCGGATGTTTAACATCCGAAAATGTGACATTGAACATCTGAAAATGTTTGACATTTTCGGATGTTGGCAATGCAAGCTTTCTGAAATGTGACATTGTTTAACAACCGAAAATAAATTGAATTTGGATGTTAAACATCCGAAAAACCCATCAATTCGATTGTTCAACACACAAAAAAACGATAAAGTCATCTTTTTTAAAAATTTGCATTATGTAATGTAAAAAATGGACCGACATGTAATAACGGAAACTTTTCGGTACATCCGTAATAACGTAAAAATAACAGATATATGTATAATTTTACTTTATTTTTATCATAGGCACTCCTATAGATCTATGCATGCCTCAAATTTGGCTTCAAAATCATTTATAGAATAATAATAATAAT